ATGACCTACAACTTGTTTCTTGTATTCACCACATTTTTTGAAATCTGATCATTTATAACATCAAGAGGACACAGTAAAGTGGTTTTGCAGTAGTCATGCCAAATCCTGATCTATCTAATAAAGATGCGAATGACGCATGCATAAGATCCAAAAATGAAAATGACCCATCGTTAAGCAAGATGAAAGAATTAGTAGATGATAGTTGGCTATTGCAGGAGATGCAAGGCGTGGTGTATGCAAATAATATTTACTGTTTAAACAGATAGGAAGTGAAAATGATAGGACTTCCCTTACATTGAATGCATGTTGGTTGAAAACTCATGCAGAGACATGTGACACCAATCACACTTGTCAATGTATAAAAGTAGTTTACGTGCCATAAATACTAAAAACTTTGGGAAGAAAGTTTGTGTCTCTTCTCTACCACCATATCACGTTATACAAATTTATATATATATATATATATATATATATCTTACCATCATGGATAAAGAGAAAGTGGGTCATTCAAAATGGAGGGGTTCACAAATCAAGCTCTATGTTAGTGAATGTATAATATATTAAAGTGCCTCGGATAATGAAGGAAGACTTTTAGATGCATGACATACACCCACCAGATAATCATTGCATAACATTGCATATCGGATATTAAAATCTCCAATTGCATCAACATGCCGTAAAAGAAATGGCAATAAGTACGCTATAACATCAAATTGTTGTAATGGAGATCGAGAGGAGTCGATTAGCACATAAAACTAAAGCATGGTCATAATGTGAACATGATGTAGAAATAACAAGAAACAAAATCATACATCCAAGTATGGTCATCACTTCAACAGACTATCATGGAGAAGGAAATAACCAAACTAGTGCAAAAGCACGACCATAAGATCAAGAAACTACAATGAAATGGCACGAAAGAGGACCATAATCAAAGCATGGTCATTACATCAGCAAGCTATCATGGAGATGGAAGGAACCAAACTAATACATCAGACCATAACAACAAGAAACTACAATGGAGATAGCAAGAACCGATCATGCAAAAATGAAATGCAGTCTTAAATAAAAGTGTGCACTGTAATATACATGACGGGGGTTTGATCTTATATGGCTCAAGAAGGAGCCAAAGAGAACCCCAGTAACAGTCCTACAAAACATTTGAAGAGAGTCCCAGCTCATACCAATCATGATTCATCACCACCTAGATGCAAACTCATACTTTTGCGAGCTGATAGCTCTATTATTCTTGAGCGTTATACATAGTGCAGGTAACCACATAGGTTGAATGCCAGTCAAACACACACCAATGCAATTTGGAGTACGAAATGGCAGTGAAAGTCAAGTACTTGCCCACAAAACTCACAAAACAGCTAAAAAAATTTCTCAAAACAGTCATACATAGGGAGGGAGATAGAGAGACTGATAGACAACTTGGCAAGTATAACAACGGTTGTTTGTTGGGGTGAAAAGTAGGTGTCTAACCAGGTTTAGTTCTTGTTTTTGGTCACATTAAAATATTAATGAAGAATTTTTATAAATATATATTGTAACATATGCATCACTATCACGTTGGATGTTACAAACAAGAATATGGAATTATTACCTTTTCATAATGGGCCCACCAGTCGTCGGATGCTTGTATCAAACCAGTTGCTTCATTGTAACTTATGCCAGTTGGCCCATGCCTGCTGTCCATCAGGCATGACCACGACGGCCAATCCTTTTTCAGTAACGCGTACTTGTTTTGCAGTTGCTTCACATCATGGACCTTATGTGTACGTTCCTCGAAGGCCTCGGCGACAGCCCTGTTGTAGACACCCCATTTTTGACCGACCTTAAGACTCAGACGTCACCAATTGGGCGCTTGGTGATGTTGCATAATGTGCTCGTTCAGAAGTCTCAGAGTCGCGGCCGTGAGCCCTGCCTCCGGATTTCCGAACCCTCTTCTGTGCCTTGCCTCGGTTTGCGAACCAGACTCGATTTTCTCTGTTTCTTTTCCTGAGGGGAGGGAGAGGTTCCGTAGACCATCTCTCAGTGGTCGTGGGCTACATTTTGTGGCTGTAGGCCATTTTGCCCATTTCGGGGCCCGGTTCCCGGTTTTCGGAGCCGTTGGCCGTGTGCCTAACAGTCAGTTTTCGGGGCCCCGGGCTGTGCATTTCAGCCCCTGAACCTTCTTTTTCCATCGGTTTTGGTTCGTCTTTGGCAGGGACCTCTGTTTCATTGCTAGGAAGGTCACAGAAGGATGGGAGGCCAGTAATTGTTCTGTCAGCCAACTTTATCCCTTCATCGCCCTCCGTCGCCCGTTCTTTCTCACTTCAAAGCCAATGTTGACCACCCTTGGGCCATTTTCTTGCACCCTAAACCCCATATTTATGATGTACACATCTGGGAGGCCACCAATATTTGGAGGCCGGCGAGTAATTCTTTCTGCCCCTTTTGAACCCCTCCTAAAAGTGGGTTGTTCTCTCTCCTGGTTCACTATCTCCAGTTTTTGACCACATGATTGTGTTGTGCACACATGGGAGGCCACCAATTTGAGGTGGCCGGCTACTAATCATACTTGAACCTTTTGACCCTTGGCCGGCCGGCCATGGGGAGGGCCGGCCGGCCACCTACAGTCTCAATAACTGGCCAGCCAGAATCCTTGCATCAAGTACAGTGCAGATACACCCTTATTTTCCCCCCAGATTCTGTATCCGGGGGGGCCAACTTTTGGAGGGAAACTTGGCTTCATTTCCCTCCATTTTCCCCCCCTCTTTTGCCTATATAGCAGGCCTTCCAGCTGCATATTTAGGGTTACAAAATTTTCCCCCAAGCCTCTTGCCTTGTATCTCTCTCTCTCTATATTTCCAAGCTCCAAACCCTCAAGCCCTACACCATTCCCACACCACCACCTAGCACCACATCACCATCATCCATTCTAGAAGCTTCAGGGCTATTTTCAAAGCTAAGGAGCCACCAAACTCAAGCCAAGGAGCTGTCAAAGATTGGTCTTCAAGGGTGAGTCCCTATTCTCCTTTTTTGTGCTTTATTTTGTTCAATACATTAGCCATACTTGCTTGCTGTTTTGGGCTCCGACCCTAACTAGAA